AGGTATTTATTTATTGTTACATGTGGTTTTTTCGTGGCATCTTGAGCTACACAGTACATTGTTTTTCCGACAAGCACATCTATTTATTTTGCACGATGTTTTGCAAAAACATTTTTGATAACCCTGCCCTCCAAATTGAGAATGTTTTTTCGCCACTTCTCTTAATGTCATCATTGTATTTGGTACTTCGTCAAGAAATTCTGCATCGGTTGTCTGTAATACATTTCTGCTTAGCCACGTATTTATAATTTCAAATCGTGTTTAGTTAAGATTATTCTAAAAATAGTACCTATAACAACATATTTGTAAGTTATTACCCATCTCACCAGTTACCAGTTTCAGCCGTGACCACTACCCGCCGCCATCTAGTAATCGAAGTTGGTGGTAGCGCGAAGGCTGCGAGTCGATAAGAAATCTTTTGTAAATAGTAATTAGATATATATATATATATATATATATATATATATATATATATATATATATATATAAGATTATAATATTTTATTTTAAAATTTAAATTTCTATCGTAGGTAATTGCATAATAAAGGGCCCCATTACCAAAATACGAAGGGGGGCCAACCAGGAAATGCCCGGTTTGTCCCGGTAGGCCTATCCGCCCATGTTTGGATCTAACCATTTACACCCTTTAATATATTTTCATTTGCAATTAATCATTCTTCAATGCTATTTAATATCAAGATCATTCATCCATAATAATTATAATTTATATTTATCGAACTACAGCACAATTATAAAACCTGACTAAGATAATAAGAAGTACGATCTACTTATTCTAACTATAGATTTAAAAATTAAAAGTTAAAATACTTTACGACCACGTGTGCCTTGTAATTATTATATCCAATATTTTAATCGATTGATCTCATTATGTTTTTAGATAATTCATAATTTACATGAATTACTTTGTGACTATGTGGACCGTGGGGGTAATTATTTTCTCATACCTTATTTTGCTATAACATTTTATAAAACTCTAGGTTCCCCTGATGTAAAGGCCTAGTTTACTGTTATATACTATTATTATTTATTACGAAAAAAAAAATAAATCTGTTATCAAAAAGTTAATAATTCTGATAACTAATAGGTAATTGTTGACAAATAAAATTGATTTGATTTGATTGAATTGATTTTGTTTTATAATTTATTATACCTACTCATTATCCTATTAGCTATTATAATTAATTGTGACAACATGACTATAGAAATCTGAAATTGTGTTTTACTTTATGTCTTCACTCTTTACTAATGCACTTTTTAAAAACGTTTTAATTTAAAATTAAAATTTTAAATATTAAAAATAATTAATTATGACTTAAGTAGATTCCTAAATTCAGTATATTGAATATTTATTGTAACTATTATAAGTTAGGTATAAGAAATAAGAATATATATATATATCTATACTAATATATAAAATGAAGTCGCTTTATTTTGTTCGGGATAAACTGTGAAACTACTTATTGGATCGTCATGCAGTTTTTTTTTAACTAAAGAGAACATTACAGAGAAGGTTTTAAGCGTAAATTAAGTCTGATAAAGTTAATAAATAATTAGTTATTAGTTATCTATATATATATATAAAAATAGAGCCAAAAATGTATAACATTTCATCAATCGAGAACGGCTGGGCCGATTTGGCTCAAATTTTTTTCATTGATCGTAATTGTCAGGAGAAGGTTTTTACGAAAAAAAATTTTAGAAAAATTCTTTTATTTAATAAATCATAGTTTAATTTAATAATTTTTGATCCGGTCGAGAACTGCGCAATTAAAAATAAATTATTAAATAAAACTATTAAAAAACTATTAAAAACTATTAAAAACTATTAATGTTATTTTTGGTAGTAAATGATGGGTATTGCATAAATATTAAACAAAAAGGTGCCAAAACAAATAAAAATTTTAGTTCAAAAAATTATTATGCATATCGGTTGATGATTAGACGCGATCAGGACAAAGTTATTCTACGATGCCATGAGCTTTGTCAAAAATTCATGGTCAAAATTTATGTAAAGATAGAGAGCGAACGATTTCGATACTTGCGATTCAATCAAAAAAAGCTGCGTGCGGAAGATTCTCAAAACAATTGTTAGGTATTGGAGATAGGAAAGTTACTACAGATGAAACGGGATGTATAAAATTACCGACCGATTTCTACATAATCATTTATTTGCAAGATGCTCTCATTGACCAGATATTTCCCAATGTACAATACACAAATCATGAGTGACTGGCAGAAAGAACAATTTTAGTAGCAAAAAATGTGGACGTCAAAGAATTGTATCTCAAGATATATTTGTTACCAGGAGACTAGGTGTCATACAAAGCTATTGATACAGTTTGCGATGCTACTGAAGCTGTAAATTATCCAACAGAGTTTTTAAACTCATTGGATTTACCAGGCATGCCACCGCATAATTTACAATTGAAGATTTGATCTCCGGTCATTTTGCTTCGTAATTTCATCCACAACGGTTGTACAACGGCACGGGAAAAGTCGTTAAATAATTAATGAAAAATGTTATCGAAGCAATCATTTTAAATGGCAAATATATTAAATATATCAAATATATTTGTTTAAAAACATTAAACAAAAACGATATTTTTTAAATCAATAAACAAAAATGAAAAAATCAAAAAGTGTTCCATCCCTGGTAAAATTATTTTAAAATAAAAGTATTTAAAAATGTTGTTTGTCATTATTATGGGTAGTAAATCTTCAAATTTTTATAGAAATAATATAAATATATATAATATATAAAATTTATAGAAATAGTAACTCGTTTTATATATAAAGCATTTAAATAAAAAATAATATTTAATAATATTTTTACTGTTTACTTATAAATTATACCCATTATATTTTAGCTGTACTTTTTTTATTTATAGGTAAATTACACTTAAATTGTATACTGTAGTTTTCAAATGCGAATTTAAACAATTTTTCTTTTCAGAATAATTATTCCATTCAATTTATTGGTGTAGTTTACTACATGTGGAAACAAAAGAACTAAGATTAAAACATTTAACATTGTATACCACGATAAATGTATGTGATAAATATATAGTAGCACATATTTAGTGATAATATCTTATTAATAATCTTATACATTAAAATTGTCGAGATGAGCACAAATTATTGTCTTGTTGCTGTAGTTCTGTTAAGACAAATATTTTTATTAATAGCAAACATGTATTATTCAGTGTAATTTTACCAGAAATAAAACTTTTGTTACTTTTAAGTTAAGGAATTAATTAACCAACATTCAATTCATGAGTTTTTCATACAAAATTAATTGTACTTATTTTAAATTATATATTAAGGTACTATTAATAAAACAAATTTTAAACTGGTTTATTGAATGTAAACAAATATTTACAAAATATTTCGAAGTGTTTCTATGTACTATGGTGCATAAATATTATAAAGGTTTGCTTATCTTATTGCAACATTGATTCTCATTTAGTTTAACAAAAAAAAAAAAAAAAAAATCTAAACATTTTTTGTATGATTTATTATAATTCACACTAAAAATATAAATACAGAGTTCAGTGTTTTAGTTTTATAATTTCATACAAGCCACCAACGTACAAAATAAATAACATAAAAATGATAAAAGTCAATTATAATATTTATCACATCGTTTAAAGTTGAAACAAGTAATCAAATTGTTTAAATTTATTATTTGTCTTAATTTATTTCAGAATCAACAACTTAAAAAAAAATCAAATATTTTGGTCTTAAACTTAAGGCATAACAATATAATATAAATATTTAAGAAAACTTTAAATTAAAATACTTTAAGATATTTGATACTATTTTTATTATATTAAAAAATATATATAAAATTACTACTTCTTTAAGAATACAAATGATATCAATAATCACTTTGACCTAGGAACATTAAGTACATATTATAGTGGTCAAGTGCATAGTTCAATAATATCTGTAATATATATATATATATATATATATAATATACTAATTTGAATATGTTTTTACAAAATAAAATTAATGTGAGGGCATGTATTATGTGTAATAATTAATGATTTATTTTTGTACTACAGTGAATGTCTAAGGATTTTTATTATGAATTTATGATTTAACATACTTGTATTGTATAAATATTATTATTTTACAATTGATAATAGGTTCCAGGTAGTGATGGGTAAAATAATGATTTTCTTCACATATCCATTTTTTTTTTTTTTTTTTTTTTAATTATGTTTTTTATTGAATAAAATAGCAAAAAAATTATGCTTTTCAATTCAAATATAATTTTAAAGCTTGGAAATATCTTCAAAATTAAACACTAGTAAAAAAAAAAAAAATTAGCTATTAAACTGTTAAAAATAAAAAAATAAAAATATATAAATATATATTAATAACAAATTACATACCCCATTTAAATTATTGTTACTAGCCACAGGCCTTGCAATGCATTTTTTAACAATAATTATTTTTAAAAAATGATTTAAGTATCATAAAAACTGCAATTGTCTTTAAAAATATTAGATATATATCTTTGTATTTTTAAATAAAAATATTATGTAAACCAATTATTATAAAAAATGTAATACTCAATATCAATTTTAAAAAATTATCATTGAGACAAATATATTTTTTTAAAAAAGAATAAATATAATGGAATGTCAAGTTAAAACTATGATTCTTTGTAGAAATATTAGATAATGTTTATAAAACAAATTCAGTTATTAGTATGGATAATATATTTTAAAATAAAGGAATTGTTGTTGTTATACTGTTTAGTATGGCGTTATTATATTTCATGAATTATATAAGCATCCAGTGGTTTGAAAAAGCTCTAAAATTTTAAAAATTATTTATAGCAATAATCAGCAATATCAGTTCACATTTTGAATGAATGCAAAAGAAGAAAAAAATTGAAGATTGCTTTTGTAATATTTCTCTAAATACAAAAATGTGACCAACCAAACTAATCAAGCAAAAACAAAACATTGAGTTACAATTGCTTTAATTAGGAGAATCATCAATGTCTGTTGTTAAAACTTTCCAGTTAAATCTTTTATTAATAGAATTAGTTAATGGTGGTACTGGAGGATCAATATATGTCCAATCATTTATTCCATCAGTCATTAAAGATACTAGGCCACAATAAGGAATTTCTTTAACCATTTTTACAAAATTTTGCTTGCTACGTGGAGGTTTGTGAAGCAGTGGTCTTGATAAAGAATCCAAGGAACAAGCATGACCTACCAACAAAATATCACCATCTAAAAAAATTAAATATTTGTTAGAATATGAATTAATGTATTTGATTTATTGTTAGTTGTATCTAAATTTACCACTGGGTTCAATTATTTTAATTAAATTCTGTACTACTTCATCACATCTAACATAATACTGTTCAACAGTTTCTGTTATATTTTCAAGAAGTAATGGCAATGTTATTAGAGCTTCATATTTGGAATTAATGTTAAAACCAGCAGCTATTAATTCACCATTACTCATCCAATCAGGAAGTCCTGATTGATTATACCAACCAAGCCATTCAAATATACCAGGCTCAACACAAATTGATACTTGTTTATCAATATCAAGACCTATATGAATTATATATATATTTATTAATAAAGTATTAATTAATTATGAAAGATTATGAAACTAACCGGCTAAGATATTATGACAAGTTTGAACACAGCGTAATGATGGCGAACAGTAAACATGTTTAATTGATTTGGTTAAATGGGCAGCCTTCATACCCCATCCAGTTAATTTAGCTTGATGTTCACCAACACAAGTAAGAGGAGTATCTGTTTGATATGAGTTAGGAAAATCACGTCGTTGAGGTATATTTGAAGGCATATTTAAATCTTTTCTTATATATTTTCCATCTGAATCAAAACTATAGGGAACCCAAGTTCCAAAAGTAAAATCCACTCGTTCTCCATGTCGACAAATATATATTTTTCGAGGTTTAGGACCTTTTGGAGTTTCAATATGAGGTGTATAATCTGCTGGGATAAAACTAGTTTCATATTTTTCAACTACTTTTTCTTCAGTAATACTTGAATCAATAACATCAATAGATTCATGATAGCTACCATCTAGAGGTAAAGAACTGCAAAAGCAAGAAAATTAAAAATAAACGTAATATATAAGTTACAACTAAATTTTACCAATGTAAAGTCCAGGTATCAGATTCAGAAGTACGTTCAGTATAACAAAGAGGAAAATAACCATAACATCCTAAAAATGATTAAAGAAAATGTAAAATTTAGAACTGTTCAATAACAAGTATGTATATTATTACCAGTTAACCATGATGTTCCTTCAGCCCAACCATCAATAGAATTGTCTATACAATCCTTAGATACATAAATAAAATCACCTATTCTAAGTTCTAATTCATCAGTAGCTTGAGGAACATGTGCATATACAACTTTATACACCTAAAATTATTTTTAAGTATTTCAAATTTTATCAAAAAATTCAAAGTTAAATGTAACCTGTTTATAAGTGGCTGTTGCTTCTCTAGAATATAACTTAAGTTCCCATAAACAAGGCGTTGATGTATTAATTGTTGATTTAATTAATGACTTCAAAGTTTCTTTTTGGCTTACGTCAAATTGATAAGCCAAAGTTAAGTGCAAAGATTTTAAATGTGGATCTACTTGTACTCCAACTAAAATAAATAAGTATGCATCAAATTTGATATTCCATAAATAGATTTTTTTTAATAATTTTAAAACATTAATTTACTAAGTTCAGTTATTTTTTCAGCACATAATACAGCAATTTTTTTTAAGAAATCAGATCCTTGATTTGATAAAAAAAAGCCCATAAAATTCGAAGAAGTATAAGTTTCTAAACTAAAACCACTGACTGACGTTTCTTTAATAACTTCATCTAAAACATTTTTTAGTATAGATACTAATGCATCAGAATGCTCATCAGGTACCTGAAAATATATACTTGGTATTGAAATAATAATGATTTGGAGATTTGAAATAATGTATTTGACAACTATAAGATATTTAAAAAAAATTATAGTAATACTTGAAAAAATGAGACCAAGGTGATATGAGGCATAAAATTATGAGCTCCATTACGTCCACACTTCATAGCTGATTTATTCCAAAATTCTCTTAGTTCATGCATAAATGCTCCACTTGGGCAAGCATAAATAATATACTCTCTGCAAGTATTGGAATCTAAAGAAGTATCATTGACATGAGCCAACAGCCAATCAGCAGCTAATTGAACTCCTCGATTGCCAGTAGCAGCTAAAGCTTTTTCCCTATTTGTACAAAAGATAATATATAAATTTATGTTCAATTTAAAGAACAAACAGTTGAACTTACGCTCGATTTTTGGGAAATCCCATTTGTAAAAGCGTTTGTAGGGGCGTCAATGTTTGTTTATTATAATTATTTTCGATTGACATGGTCTTCGTTTTTCGGGGTGGAAGCATAGCCATTACAATTTATTTAAAGTAGACTAGAAAGTTTTAAGCTTAAATGCTTAGTTGTGAGGTTTAGAGGGTTATTTTGAAAATTAACCATTGAATATGGCAAAATAAAATTTAAATAATCATTCTCGTCTCCCGGGTCTTCAAAAGCCATGAAAACTGCGATAACTGTGATGAAAAAGGTGATACTATCTTACAACACATAAACAAGTTTACATAGTCGAAAAATATTGTACATTTTGAATGTTTGAGGTTATATTATATATAATGTACTGTTACAAGTATTTACATATCTTATCATTATATAATGTTTTTTGTGATAACTGATAAGTACTTCATGTGATTTTAGCGGTTTGTCTCACTTTTTGAGTTTGCTTTCAGAGTTCTTTTTTACTCTTAAAATGGCTCAAGGAATGGTATTTGAAGATATATTCAATGTGAAAGATATAGATCCAAATGGCAAACAATTTGACAGAGGTAAATTTATAATTAGTTATTTAACATTTTATTTATTTTACTCAATAATACAATTGTAGAGCAACAACTTTAAATTGACTGTTGAATAATTACTTATAGTTATTCTTAAATATTAAAAAAAAAAATCTTCTCTAAAATCCCTATAAAAAGGATATTTCCTGATTGATGAGTATTATATAGATTGTGAAAATCCGAAAAAAAAAAAATAAAACTGAATATTAAAATATTAATTTAATTTAAATAACCTAAGAGGTTGATTTAACAGTAGTGTTTGTCAACAAATATTAATAAGCTGATTGGAGTAAGTGATTGTTTTTCATTTTTGTGTCAACTACTATTAATTGTGAAGTAGCACATTTCATGAAATTGACAGCTTACACAGTTCAGGAAATTAAAATTATTTACTGATACTGGTACAATTCTATGTAATGTAATTCTAATGTAATGATTTAAACTAAATAGTTTTAAAAAAAATTGTATGTAGTTAGTAAAAAAATAGGCTATTTAATATTTATTAAATTTAAATTTTATGTTAAAATTTTTATGAAATTAACTAGACATTTTTGTGACCAATTCTAAAACAACATAGTACTTATTATACATACCATACATTAATTCAATATGAACCCTATTTTACATTCTATACTGCATACAAATTACCCTAGGGTCTATAAATATGGCAATATCTTTATCAATTTATGTGGATTTGAGTTAGAGATCATTAGTTTTTAGATGGATTATCATTCATTTACGTAGCTTTGAAGAGGTTATGGGTGAATTTCATACTAAACATTTTTATTAGAATACACAATAAATTTCTGTTGAGGTGTTATCGATAAAAGGTTGTACCTCATAAATTATGAGTCTTAATATAATACAAGTAATTGATACTTTATTGAGTTTTTCTATATAACAATCAAGTTGTTTTATATTGGTTTAACTTAGTTGTGTGTATTATTGATTGTTTAAAACTGATGGTACAGCTTTTATAAAAGTTTTGTGAACTATTTATTTATAGTTCATATTTTATTACATATTATAGTGAAGTTAAGTGACTATAAAAAGGTAAAATTAAAATAGTTGTAATTTTTATCAAACATTGTACAAAAAAAAGATGTTGAAATTACTTAGGACCAAAGAAATGTTCTATTGTAGACATATTTCTGACTTATTCAGTATAATTTTCACTATAATTTGCAACTAGTTAAAATAAAATGTCTATACATCTAAGTCAGGTTAGGTACTTACTAATTAGGTTAAATAATATTCAGCGTTTTATTTTAATTGTACTAATTTTATCACATTCTTAATATACAAAATTTGACCTAAAAAAAAATTATTAAATATTTTTTGAAATTTTTGAACTTAAGACTAAATGAAATATATTTGTATATATAATACATTTATATCTAAGAAGTAAAAGTTTCTCATTTTTAATGCATATTGATTGATCAAGATTCAATGAATTATTGATGTAAGTATATATTTATTACAATTGTAGAACTTCTATGTTTAATTCTCCCAACATTTGTAAAGTATAAATAGAAATAATTATATTTTTGTTTATTTTTTGATTGACATTTTCTCTTCAGTATTATTCGTATTATCATAAGGTATTATTTGAGTTATTGTTTGAATACCTATATTTATAATGTAATTAACTTAGAATTGCTATATACTATAAAAATTTAAAATTATTATAAGCAAGTAGTACTAAAGTTAGGATTTCTAATCCAATAAATAAAACCTAGTTTTGGATCTATTTAATTACAATTATAATCAACAAATCTATGATTATTTGGTATGATGAGATTTATAAAAATGGAGATAAATTTTCATTGTTGATAATATAAAACAATTATAATAGTACACATAGGTACCTAGATATCTATCATTGAGCATAAAGTTATACTATATACTACAATATTTTTTAGTTTGAATTGGTTCTGAATGATTTCTTTTTCTAATCCTGTCCGATTTATTCTAATCTGGTAAACAAACTTGCTATATTTTTGTCTTAATGTTTATATTTTTGATTTAGTTATGTAAATACACATTTGTTCAATTTTTTTTAAATTATGATTGGTAAAAATATGTCACATATTGTACTTAAGTGTATGTATAAATGTATAATATAAATTTATAAAATGTTTAATTACGTGTTAAAATGGTGGTATATTCAGGGATGTTCATTGTAATTCACTTTCTGAGAAATATAAATTAAAATGCTAGTTGTGTAGTTTTTAACCTAATATTATAAAAATTGTATATACATAAATTATAAAGCCAACAAATTATACTACAACAATTTACAATTTCGAGTAGTGAGAAGAATACAAACTCCTTTAACCATTTTAAATTAGTGATTCCTTGTGAATCACTGTAATATATTTGGGAATTAGAAATTATAATTAGATTATAATTATATACATATTGTCCTAAATTTATTATAATAAATTTAACTGTAAACCATCCTTATTAATCCAGTTCCCACAAAGAAATTAAAAGTCTTTGTCTTTCATCATTGGTAATATTACATAATTTATGTAATAGGTATGTACCAATAAATATAATTAATATACCTGAAAATATGATTATAATTGTATAATTGAAATGCATGGGTTTTGCTGATGATGCATATGATTTATCTGATAAATACTATTTAATGTAAAGAAATATTTTGCAATCAGAGATTTTAATAAATTATTATACTCTAATATAATCTAAATGTTAAATGACGATGTTCAACGTTACATTTTGTTGTATGTTTTTTGTTTTATTTCCTTGCTGAGATACCCAATAAATTAATATAATTTGAAATCTATAATTAAAAACCATATTTGTTATTATTGTAACTGTCAAGCTTAATAGTTTGTATTGGAAACAATAAAAAAAAATAAAAAAAAATCGAAATTTTTCTCTTCTACTAACAATTTCATTTTATTTATAGTTGTAATTTGGAGAATCAATTATTTATCAAGAATCAAAGATGATAATTATTATTTACATACTTGAGATAATAATTTATATTTTATTATTACATTGTTTAGTTATTTGTGTTGACTTTATTTAGAACACAAGTTTATATTACTTTATAATTGTCTTTTATTAAGAAAACTAGTTGAACCCGAGCACTTCGTAACCCGTTAAAAATCCTACCTCTTCTATCTCCCAAACTGTGTATTAAATTTGTTACCTGTAATTATGCTAGCAGTGTATTTTTATACATATAGGTAAGGGTATATACTATGTAATAATCTTACAACATAATTTAATTTAGTCGAACAAATTCAAGGATAATAATTTCTTTCACACTAATTATTATTATTGAAACTAATAGCAAATTAATACCATCTATAAATAAAAATGTCTATTGTAAATCTCAAAATCTCTGTTTCAGCACCTCCTGGAATTGGGCCTATCCCTTTTTACCTTAGCCTATCTTCTGCCCATAGGTCTAATAAATCTCTGTACCAAATTTCGTCGCACTTGGTCCAGCAGTTTAGGAATGCATAAAATACCAACAAACTGACAGAAATTTATTTTTATTTATATAAATTATGTTCCATGTTATTGTCATAAGCATGTTATAGGGCTTTCTTTGTAACTTTTACATTAACAATTAAATTTTGTCTTGTCTTTTTTTTTTATGAATCGAATCTCATTAAATGTTTATATAACATGTATCAAAAGTACTATAATTAATTAAAATTAAATAAAATTAATAATTATCTTAATTTGCTTATTTTATATAGTATTTTTGTTAATTTTAAGTGCAAATAAAATCGTTTAAAAAAAATACTTAGATAAACTGTTTCAATAATTATAATTAGAACTTCTCAAGTTTATTTGGATACCAGAATTGTGTGTCTATAAAAATTTGACCACTTAATTCATTTTGATTTTAAATAACTTATACATTTATGTTATATTATTTTTTTTATCATATCAAAAATAATTTTTTTAACGAGAACTTTCGATAATATATTTTATAATTTATAAGTACATTGTGCTACTTTAACGGCTATAATAAAGAATAATAATATTATAATTTGTTTATTAATTATAATATATTTTTCACTTCTTTTGAAAAATAATCAAAATAATCAAAGTTCAATGTCAAAAGTTCAAAGGGTGTGTCCATAGCATTTGTGAATAAACCCCTTCGGGGGGCGCATGCTCAACACTCTAAAAATCGATAGAGCCCCTGGCCCGGGCTTAAGCACGGTCAAGGTCTTCCCTTTCCTAATTCCACTACGGAATTTTCGCATCGAATGTGCGGGTTTTCTTTCAACTACATTAGTCTAAAAGCCACGCCTACACACTCCATCATAACCTTTATGTTCTTCAAAGTGTCTTTGATTTTTTAAATTTTTAACAACGAAAGCTCAGTAAAAATAATATTATTCTGCACAGTTAAATTAGTACTAATACATGATAATTATTTTTGAAATGATCTAAGACAATATAAAGTGAAACGGGTGTAGAAAATATGTTCACTGTTTATACATGCAAAGCATTAATTTTGTAAAAAATATTAATATTGGTTGAAAATATTTTAGTTAAAGATTTTAAATGATGGATTATTTTTTAATTTTGTTTTATTTGGTATATTGACTAGCTGTCGAAAAAATGTTTAACTATCGTATATTTTTGGCTACGATTTACGACTGACAGGATGCAGTTATAAAAACAAGTTATTCCCGGCTATGGCGTCACCTTTAAAGTAGTGGGACCGAGCCATAATAACTTTAACAAATTAAAACTTATTTTTTATTTTTTTTTTGGCAACTCTAAAGAAAGCATATAAAATTGTAAATATATTAATCTAATCAACTAAATAATATAATATCTGTACTCACTATTAAACTTTAATTGTATTGCTGTAATGTTTTAGATAAAATCAAAAAATTTAAAAAAATTATGAATTTTGTTTAACCTCAGTGGCGGTTTTACGGGGTGATTCAGAGGTCTGGAAAATGACCTCCGAAAAGATCCCG